CTGAATGCTTCCTCACTGATGACTAGCTTAAATGGTACCAAAAGGAGCCACAGAAGCTTCCAAACAATCCTACTCACATATGAAGCCTATGAACCACCACTATGGGCAGCATAACCCTAAGGGTACATACAGTACTGGCAATCATACCAGGGAAGTAACCAATATTTCTTTAATTGGCCATAAGACCAGATCAACAAGAGAGAAACTATGCCTAGTACTGGAAACCTAGTCATTAACTCAAAGCTAGTGAAATCATAGATGTTGAAGAACTTACAACTAGAACTTTACTACGTCACCATGATCCCTAATTATATTCTTAGCAGTTGTCATTGTACACACAGGTAAGTGTAGATTCACCCCTCATCAAGAGAATTTCTCTTTGCAACAGACCATTAAAGAAAAATACAATCAATCAAAATACACAGCTGTATACCCAACCCCAGTGGATGCATCAATGAAACATTCCTGCATCTAAGGCTTGGGGAAGCTTAGAGAAGAAAGGACAGAAACACTGTAAGAACAGAAGATCAGGGAGTTTTCTGTCAGAGTATGTCTCCTAGTACGGTCGGAAGATAAACTTAAAAAGTCTCACCAACATAACTTTCTAAACATGAGCTAAAAAGGACCAACCACATTAAACATGTCAAAGTGCATTGAGTAAAGCCCGAGAGGCCTCAACCCTACACACAAAAAATGTACAGGCCACCCAAGAATGCTGAAAGTAGGAGAAATCGTCTTCAAAGAAGAGCACACCAGCTGATTATCCAATGCCAAGTGTTCTGCCCTGAAAACATCCATATGAGTAACATTACTCAGACTGAGCAAGTTATGTTCAGGAATACAAATGTATATATACATACCCACGTAAAAAAATTTTAAAATAAAGGCCATGAAATTGAAAAATAGCAAGGAGGGGTATAGATGCTTTGGAGGAATGAAAGGGAGGGAAGAACGATTTAATTATAATATCAAAAATAATACAACCTACCATACTATCTATAAGGGAATATTATATCGAATATCCAATTTTATCATAATAATTGCCAAAATTCGTTATATTTTATTTTACTCTTCATCATATTTGGTTCTAGGCTCCCACTCAATGGAGTCTACTGGCCTCTGCAGCATGAGGATGTTATTGTGATGGTTAGTTTTAATTTTCAACATGGCACAAAGCAATCTGGGAAGAGATTCTCAATGACTGAGTGTCTAGTTTAAGTTGGCCTGTGGGCATGTCTGTGGGGGATTCTCTTTATTAAATTAGTTAATGTGAGAAGAATAAATAAAGACAACATCATCCTCTGGGTTTGAACCCTGAAATGCATAAAGAAAGGGGAAAGCAAGCTGTGTGTGCCGTGCCTTCTTCTACTCTCTCTGTACTGACTGCTTTCAAGTTCCCCTTCCACTCCCTGAAATGACTGATTGCAACGTGGGGTTGTGAACCAACAAATCTTTTCTTCCTTAAAATGCTTTTCTCGAGAAATTTGTATTAGAACAGCAGGGAATGAAACTAAGAGAGGCTGGACATTCAGTTTTGTATAGCTAAGCAAACAAGTGGCTTTGGAAAAGAGATGTGTCAGTAACTAAGCCACAGTTTAAAGATCCATCATTGTCTCCAAATGAACAAGAAAATGAACAATCTAGAATGATGATTTCAGTTACTATTACTTAGCACTTTAATAGGTAAAATCCTATCTCTTCTAAACATGTAAATAAAATATATAGCTGCAATTTTAAACAACAAATTGAGGGGATAGCAAGTAAGATGTTATGTAAGATTCCAAAGAAAATCTCAGTAGACCTACATGTTAGCCATTAGGATTTCTGAAATGGATCTGTAAATGTCACAAAATGCATCATTATCCCTAAGACAGAAACCAAATGCATTCTCATTAGATTAATTTGCATTTATATAAACAAACTTGTAAGTGTTTAACAATTTATAGAATTGTCCAATACCTAAAGATCTGTGAAAGAGCTAAATAGCTTCAAAGAATGCACTAGACTGGAACACTCAGAAACCATTTCACTCTTTCAAAGATTCCCAAAACCTTTTCTGACAGAATAAAGACCATGCATTATAAAATAGAATGACTCACTATACAAATGTAAAGAATAATGTGTTGTTGGAGCTCAGGGGATTGAAGAGACAGGGTGAGGTTGAATAGATGTGTAGGGGCGACCTCATGAAAATTCATTTAGCTTTGTTTGGCATTAGGGAATGGACAGCAACACATTTGAATGAAACAGTGGTAATTTCCACTTCTGCTTCTGCAGCGTAGGAAGACTGTTGCAAACATTTTTGAGTTAGCTCTGCAAAAGAATGTAATCAGCCCTGAAGGTTCTTCATTTCTAATAATGGAATTTCTTCAACCAATAAAATCTCATTGTTAAATGGATTCTACTGGTCTTTATATATATTTCAATATGTAGGCAGGAGAACTCTCTCTTGGAGTCCAACAATGAATGTATACATGTATATAATCCCATTTGGATTTCCACTTCTCTGTCTTTGAAGTTCCTTAATAAACCAAAACTTAACATGCTCACTATGTGATGTCAAATTTTATTTTATTTTTGTATTAGTGTCAAAAATTTTGTTTCTGTCTTAACTCTTATTTGTACCAATATACGTAGTAGTATATTTTGATTTTTAAAATTATAATTATAGTTCAGAAAATTCAAAATTCTATTTGTTAATTGGGGGTACTGTACATTATGGAAGATCAAGTGTAAGATCATTTAAACTGTTATTGGGGAGCTGAAAAGTAACCAAATTTTTATGAATGAGTATAGTATTAAAGTAATTGTTCAAAGTAAACTTAATCACTTTTTTAGTGGGTGATTTCCTTTCAAGTTCCTGTTCTTAATGCTCTTGACACCATTAACTTTCAAAACAGATAGCAAGATATTATGTTAAATTTGACAAATTTTCCAAAGCAGAAGATGTATTTCATAGAAAACTATAGACATTCTGACTTTCAGGTAAAATCTATTAGGCAAAATTTTGTCCTTAATTTGCAGAGACACATTTGAATTATTGACATATCTTTCATTAAATCCACAAAGGTAGCTGAGAGTTCTGTTTATTTCAATTACGTTCTCTTCCCACCTATTCATGTTGAAGAACTGGATGACTCAACTAAAGCTTTCCCATAGTCTGGCTCTTAGACCTTATTCATTCATCCTGCAGTTCAACATTCTCCTCTGTCCTACTTTCCTCCTGACAGTGGTTGAATAGGTCCAGAGAATTGATCTGAATTAAATTTTGTTTCTTTAACAACTCTAGGTAGTATATGGCAAGGTTACAGAAATATCATAATGCTTAAACACCTTCAAGTGACTATAACAACAGTTTAGAAGACAACTGACTGTGTATAACAGAGACAGGACAAGATGGGGTCATCTGTCAGCACCTACCTTTTCTTTCCTCGCCACCACTGGCTCCATTTGTCCACACACAGTCAACTCACATCTGTTTTTGAAGTAATGCACTTGCCCCTATAATTACACAATTTCCTTTCTCAAAGTTCTACCAAGTGGTGAAGAGCTAATCTTACACTCATTTCATATCTATCACATGTGCACACAGACACAGACACAGACACAGACACAGACACACACACACACACACACAGAGAGAGAGAGAGAGAGAGAGAGAGAGATATTTATCTTTAAATTCTCTGGATGTAGTAGATTAAATATGGGCTGATAGTGAAATGATATTCTTTCTCCTAATGATTTTTTTCTTATCTGAATCCATTTTCCTCAAAACGTAGCCTCATATAACTGTAGTGTATGCTCATAGATATCAGAAGAGATCAGAGTGGAAACTACAAGCATTCTGAACATTCAGTTGCCATAAAACTATGTTGTAAGCAATATTTGTAGCAAGAGTGTTTAAGCCAATGTGAAGAATTTTAAAAATGTATTTGAAACAAAGGTCATATATTTGGATGTTTTATTTTTAAATATGCACCAAATGTTCCTTAGTATCAAGTAATAAGTGTTTTGGACTCCAAGCTAGTGTTCTTATTGAATATTATCTTGTTAAATCAAAAATTCAAATTGAAATAAATTTTCATTTGCATTTGCATAGTTTAATTTAATGCATGCAATTTATGTGAAGTAAAGAATTCGGTACTTAATCAAAAGCTGTTATGAGTGTTATATACATACTGTTGATCAAACACTGATAATTCCCCATCATTCACTGACCTCTCCAGGTCTTTGAATCTCGGTTTCGTTTTCTGTAAAACTTGAGTTCTGGGATAGATAAATTTTCTCAGACTTATAGATTCATGAAAGAGTTAAAAAAAATGGTTAAATCAATTACGGTTGTCAGTTTTCCTTTGGAATAAGGATATAAAATAAACCAATATACGAATTGTCATTACTAGTTCGAATGTTTCATTAAGAAAAACATTTGAGCATTGAAAATCAAGGGTGCCAAATTCCCAGGAGATAAATACTTTTTATTGCAAAAATAAGAATGTGGTATTAAATTTTCCATGTTACTTTTCTCATTTCATTTCACATACTTATCCAAATAATTTCACTTTGTCTCAAATCATTTTATGGACCAATGCTTTAAATGTATTTTATTATGTGAGTTCTAGTCTCCCTTACATTCACAAATGGTGACCTATTGTCTTGTATTGATGCAATATATTAAGTAAATTTAATTAATCAACATTACCCTGCATTATGTGAACAAATGTAACTTAAGACAATTTACTAAACCTAAATAAAATTATAGCTTTAAAAGAGCAAAAATAAGCTGCTAATGTTTGATAACATGCCTTGCCACAAGACATTTTAGGTCCTAAGGGAAATGACAGCACCATTCGCATTAGCTGAAGTTTCTTTCTGCAAGCTCGAAAGGGAAGTTGAACTGTGGTAATACCGGTTTTTATCTTGAAGGCCAAAAGTGGTTTTGAGAATGTGTGCTATCATTTCCTTCAACAACTCAGTACAGAACCAATCTTGAGTTCCTCATTTCTACACTTGCAGAGGCAGAAACACAGCTCACTTTCTTTCCTGGTCTTTTCTCCTTCTGTGAGCCCCGTGGAACGCCTCAGAACAGTGTTTTATTCACCATGTGTAACTATGAAATAGCATTCATCGGTGGCAGAGAGACGGACTAAGTGCATCTGACATCTCTTGATCGTTGGGACAGAATATGGAAATGTCACTGGTTTTCTTTTCTCAATTAAACATGTGTGAATCAAAGGAGAAAACTTTTTTCAAACTAATGCATGGGTCAGGAAAAGAAGAAACAAGCATCGAAGCCAAAATCAGGTAAAATTAGAGATGTTTAGGTCAACCTAGTACTTTAAAAAGCATGGTTAAGGAATATTTGTTAGCTCTGACTTTGTAGATACTTTGTTCAAATATATTGATTGAATGCTGCAAATGAGGACAGGAGCATTTTTATATTTTTAAATTACTGGGAATAAACACATGTTTAGTCTAATTTAACTTCATTTTTTAAAAGGTTTACAATTTTAGCCACACCAAAGCATTAAAATAGCAATTAATAGAACAGACCCTCAAATACTTGTTTGTCGAAGTACAAAAGAATTGTATGTGGTGTGCTCTATGCTAATTCCTCTATTTGCTGTTTAAATAAAATGAATAAGTAAAAGAAGGTCTTTTTCTGAATGGAGGTGGGTGTTTATCAATTCCAAATTTTGGGGGGAGGTTGAATAAGACTTCTGTGACATCAGAATGATCCTGAATGTATTATTGTTTTTACAGAGCTAAAGAGAAAAGAAATAGGCTGAGTCTTCTCCTGCAGAGGCCTGACTTCCATGGGGAGACTCACACCAGCAGATCTGCCCTTCTGGCCAAAGAAGCAAGGTGGGGACCATCAATTCCCTTGTGAGCATAGTTTTCTGGTTCTATAATTCATGATTAAGGGAAAAGGAAATAGAGTAAATATGGTATTGGAAATGAAATAGTAACATGAACACAGTGCAGCATTTCGTTTCCCAAAACAAAGAATAGTTCTAAGATTCAACCACTTTCATAACCCAAATCAAATAATTAGAACTTTCAAATGTGTCCTCTCATAATTAATGGTCCTGACCATTTTAAATGATATCCTTTATAGCCCATTAATTGATGAAGTTTTATTTTGTTTAAATACTGTAAACTTGTCACCAGAAAAGTTGACTTATCTATTTCCTTAGATTAAGAACATATCTTATGGATGGCAGCAAGAAATACACAAATAAAGGAAGTGTTGTAATTTGGTTAAGCATTTTTCTTAACTCAAAAAATAAAAATAGCCATATATATTATCAAATAGTTATTTAAATTTTGAATGTGTCTAGTTAAAGATACAAAACCATTTCCCTTTCTGTTTTATTGGCCTCTCCAATCATATCAAAAACAGCTTTTACCTTATCCCTTGAGACTTCACCAATCTTCATGCATTTAAAGGAAGAAGGAAGAAAGAAAGAAACAGACGGACAAAACCCAGCACCTTGTAGTTACAGATTCAAGGAAATTGCATTTAAAAAAAAGAAAGAAAGAAAGAAAGCCCTTGGAAAGATACTGTTTATGCTGTCTTATTTGCTGAATTTTTTGAAATGAAGTTTACCTGATCTCTGTCTCTGTCTATCTCTGTTTCTCGCTTTCTCTCAAAATGTCTTCTCTCTCTCTCTCTCTCTCTCTCTCTCTCTCTCTCTCTCTCTCTCTCTCTCTCTCTCTCTCTCACTTTCAACTTAACATATGACTACCTTTACTTAAAAACTAAAACAACTTTGACACTTTGGGGAAACCTGCAATGTTTCCTTGTTCAATGGGAAAATCAAAAAGAAAACTGAGTGCTGTTGAAGAGTCCACTGTCAGTTTGACTTGGGCTTAGAAAAGCAGAAGGAAAGAGACTGCGGGGGCGTCAGAGGCGAGCACAGGCTTCAGAGTCTCTGTGCTGCAGATGGATTCAGAAGGGAACGTGCTGCTCACTCCATCAAACATTTTGTTTTCTGCACAGAGTCTCCCACGAAGAAGCAGTGAAATGGGCTGAATCATTTGACAAACTGCTTTCTCATAGAGGTCAGTGGTGTTTTCACCAAACCCTCATTCCTTAATAAGATATTAAGATTAGATATCTGCAATTATCAAAGGCAAATCATCATCAGAGGTTTATATACAGTAAGTAATTTGCAGTAATCTGAGTTCTAGTCAATGGGGGTAACTAAGGAAAAGAGTAGGCAGCTAAAGGAAAACATATTTTTAATTTTCTTACTTATTCAGTTACTTATTGTTGGTGAAATCTTAGTCATTTCTTTATTCTCTAGTTAGCAACTACAACATTTATATTTCAAATTACTATTATTTTAAATTTCCTAATATTTGATAGAGAACTAGTTTTATTAAAAGTATATTTAATACATTAACCACATTATTTTATTCTTAATAATCAAAACCTTGAAGTAGCTTCTTTGACAGATATTTAAGGAACCCTCATGAAGATAGCTTTTTAAAGAAAATTCCTATAAATACCTATAGGTAGCTCTATAATACATCCATTTTTAATTGTTTCTTTTTTATTTTTGATATTATAATTACATTATCCCCCCTTTCCTCCTTACAAACACTCACATGTAGCTTTCGTTGCTCCTTTTCAATTTTATGACCTTGTTATGCGCATATTTATAGATCTATTTTAAGGCAGAATCTTATAGAGAAGTTAAGAATCAGGTGTTTATTAATGCTTAGCATTGTGCCCTACTTGGGGGAAGAGGCAGAGTTAGAACAGGCTTGATTCTTCAACCTTAAGTTTGGGTCGGGGCAGGCAGCCAGGATTGTACTTCAAATACCAGAATGCAAACTTTTTCTGAACGCTGTTTATTTTTCTCAAGTTTCAAAATCAACAATCTGCACTTCATATTTAATGGGAAAACACAGTTTTTATTTTCCTTACTGACCTGTTCAACAGAGAAAGTGAAACTTCATCAAGACTAGACACACAGGCATCCTGAGCTACAGCTTTTCTTTGTCTGCTCAATACTGTATCTTACTTTACTCTTTGAAACACCATCCCTTCCATGCTCCTTCCCCAGACTATTCCAAGAACAGAACAGGAGTACACTTCACTCTTAAGCATGGCAGACCCAGTGGGCTTCCCATCCTCAAGTGTGTGCTGGAAAAAATGTTTATCATGACCAGGGGAACTTGGAGAGGAAAGCAGATATTGGGCCTCTTTCATTACTAGGAAGAAGCAATTTCTCTTGTATTTTCTCATTTTCTAGCATATGCATAGTGCTGAATATATTCATTGTTTATTGGGAACATTTAAAATGATTTCTTCAGTGCCATACATGGTGTCGCACCTAATAATCCCAGTACCATGGAGCTGGAAACAGGAGGATCAGATTTAAGACCAGCCTCATTTACATAGTAGGTTTGAAGTTAGTCTGGGCTATGATAACCTGATTCAAACTCTTAAAATGTTTTCTTCTAATACTTTGATAAATGCAATAAGTTATTGTTCATCACCACTCCACTATATGTATAGAACATACAAGTCATTCTCTTCCAACATAAATAAATTTACACTCAATCCCTAACTTCTCTGTATCCTCTGTTTCATTGAACCACTTTTAGTCTTGTTTATTCTCTATATTCTACTTTCAATTTCTATTAGTGTGTGGTGACCCCAACTCTAACTTTTACTTCTATGAAATAAACTTGTTTATATTCCACATGAAGCCTCTGCCTTTATACCTGAATTACTCAACATGACATCTTCCCATTTCACCCATATCACCACCCATATTAGAAGACTACATCCTATTTGTGGAGATACATAATTTTCCATTCTGAAGGCATATCATGCTTTCTTATGCATTCACCTGTCGATGCATACCTAAGCTAACTCTGTACCTTAAACACTGTATGTAAGGTCATCTTCACTTTTTTTGCTGTCAATATTTTACTTTAGGCATATACAGTTTCCTTCATAATTTCAACTTACCAAGTATTTCCTTTTAGAATTTTCTTTCAGTTAACATTTTGTACACTAGTCTTTAGTCTCTATTAATGAAAATTATCTTAAAGAAAGATTATTCTTTGTAACTGAGTGATGATTTGTTAGAAGTATCCATATATGGCTTCATCTGTGGAGCCTCACAGGAACATGAACCCTGAAAAATATTAAGTGCCTATATACTAAAACTAAATTTGTTTCTAGAGAAGTTCTGCAGGATCTCCTCTGAGATGTGAGATATTTTTGAAACATAAATGGCTGTATAGTCTTAGTTGTGCTCTATAATCTCTTTGGCTTTCAGCGCCCACATGTAAACTTAGAATTTTTTTTATTTCCCAAAGCAGCAGATTCAATGGCATGATGAATAAGAGACTAACAAAGAGTAGCAGCTATACAAATACAAATGACTGCTTCTGTAGTAAATTATAGTTACCACTTTAAAACAATCTTTTTTTTTTATTTCCAGTAGGTTATAAACTAGACAACCAAGAGAAAAGGGGTTGAAATTTCAATTGGAAGTGGTGTTTAAACTGGATTTATTACTCTAATTAACAACCTGCTATATAACAACTCCATCATGTCCTCATCATACAAAGTGAAGAAATACTAGGACATGGATTAGTCCTCATCTCACATTCTGTAATTCTCATTTACAAGCACTGAAAACCAAATAGACTAAATTTTTTCCCTAGTGATGGAAATATGAATAAGCTTTAAACTACCCACAAGTTAAGGTAAAAGAATGTGATGTGAATTTAAACAATTCATCACTTACCTACTTGTATATTAAAATCACATCTTACAACCAAAGTACTAAATAGTTATAATAAATTCACAAATTATGTTACTAGTTTTACTTTACTGATTCAATTATTTTTTGTTGCAATGATAATTGTAAAACTAAACTATGAAACTTGAAATAATTACCTAAAATACTCTTGATTACAATATTGAACTTAGTCCATTTCTAGTAATTTGGCACTGTGGAGGATAAAAGAATTTAGATGAATAGTTGAAAAGTGTTCCTATGGAAAAATGCATGCACACATACACAGACATTTCAACAAAGACCCAGATACTTTAAGTTTTATATAATTTCCCTGGGATTAAATGGGTTGGTTACTCAAGTTTAGTATACCATATCTGTATAAAAGTACAAAACATTAAATTTAGTCAAACAGGAAATTAAGTTACATATCAAATGAGATGCAATAGAAATCAGATTACATTATTTCATAAAATGAGCTCCAGCATAGACTTACTAGGAGTAGTGGTTTTATCAATACAATCACAGAATAAGCAGTGTTGACTCTATTTTCAGAGGGTTCATAGAAGTTCCAATCAAGCAGGCAGTCTAGGCTTGAGAGTTTACATTTCTGACTGATTCAGCAAATCAAAAAAGTATTTCTTTATTGCAGCATGTAACTCAAAATGGGGAGAGTTAAAAAAAAATGACAGACAAGATCCACCCATTAGAGTAAAACAGGAAAGTACCTGGATTTCCCTTATCCCAAAGAAAGCAGAGCATCGAAGAGGTGTTTGGATAATTATCATCTTAAAATTTGTTTATATTTATTTATTTTATTATTTATGTGTATGAGTGTTTTGCCTTTGTGCAAGTATGTATACCACATGTGTAAGAATAGGACTTCCATTCCCTGGATCTGGAGTTAAAGATGATTTGAGCCTCCATGTGGGTACTAGTAACCAAACCTGGGTCCTCTGCAAGAGCTGCCAGTTTTCTGAAATGCTGAGCCAACTCTACAGCCCAATTTTGATGCATTTCTTATTCACAGTTTAATTTTAAAATTAAATTGAAACACATAGAAAAGTTAAATCCAATGAAATGTGCATTTGGTAAGGACTTTAGTTATTATATAAAAATAGTTTCATTAATGTTATTATGCATCATGTTAATATAAGGTATTAGCGGCAGGAAAAATCAAATGCAGAGGATATGAAAACAATGTGTGAGCATCAAAACCTTCCATAAATACAAATACGTTCTAAAATAAACTTCTATTCAAATGAACGTAATGATATATTGCAATTTTTAACACAACAGAATCCAATTTTTGTTCCTTATTTGTTTCTATGACAATACTCAGAAATTTTTATTTTAAATCTTTATGTCTTGGAAATTTGTTTGAAGTTGAAAATGAATCATAAAAATGTAATTTAAATGCATGGATTTATTAATTTACAAATGCTGTTTAGCAAATCAAAATGTATTCATGTATCAAAAAATACTATCAGAGTGTAGTCATTAATTTCAAATTACATGGACCGCCTTTATAGAAGTGAGACTTATCACGATGAATTTGAATATTATATGTGAGATAATGCAAAGGAAACGTGTATATTATACACATACATACATATATATGTTGATATATACATATATTTAGAGAAACATATATATGTACATATATATGTTTAGAAAAAGCCAGAATTTTGACATGATACAAAAAAGCAAGCAGCTCAGGTAATAATGAACAAAACATTGAAAAATCAATTTGAGGACATGCTTTTGGAAACTCTTACATTGGAAAGCTACCTCTGATGGACAGAAAGGTGGAATCTCATCAGTTGGGTACCTATGAGTACTTCTCAAATAAAAACCTATATACTGAGGTAAGGACCATGTTGGAAGGAAATTCGATGATCTTGCTGAAGTACTGATTGTGTGCATATACTTTAGAATGGGAAGGTGAAAAATAAAAGGATGAGCCAACAATATCTAGGTTTTCTCTGTATTAAGTGGAAGATCCTGTTCCTGTTTTAGAAGAGAAGTGGAAGATAAGGCATGTAGAGAGTAACAGGTCACTGTTAGAGACTGTTTAGTTGACATAAAACCTTATCATCAGTTTTTCAGTTTTGTAGGCTCATATCTAGAATATGTAAGTGACTCTGGCATATAGATAGACAAGTTGCAAACTCTCACAGGGGGATTTGAAAGAGAATGGTACCTTCTGTGAAAGGCATCTCTACCAATTACTAATATTTAACAGCTTATTTTAACTGCCCTCTTTCCTAGTCACTACAAACATTCACAATGTATTTA